GTCAATATAGCCAGGTGTAGAATGAACTGGAAGCTCACGAGCCACTCTTCTTCTGATCTTTAAATCTACGAAATAATCTGGAGATGAAGTTCCACCAGATAAACATCTAGCAATATTAGTTCTATCTTCAGTTAAGAAAGCAGCACCTAAAGTAGGAGCAGTTGCAAAATTTTCTCCAAGAGTCCAGAAATCTAAAGCATTAGAAGTTGATGGATTTAAAGCACCAATAACAACATCTCTTTTAAATCTATAGTCAGAACTCCATGCTTCATTGAACCCAAAACTAATAGAATCATTAGCTTTTAAACCAGAGAAAAAGATAGAATTTGTTGGAACAGGTTGTTCACCAATAAATGCAAACTTTGAATTATATCTTTGAAGTATTTCAGACTTTTGCCAAAAATCTTCAATTCCTTGACCATAAATTCTTTGATGTTTTGTATAACCAACAAGAACAATATAACCAGGTTCAGCAAATGATTTTGTAAATAAATACTCACTTGAAGCACTTAAAGAAATAGCACCAGGAGCACCAAGTTCAGTTCCTTGGCCAGCTTGATGGCCAGTTGTTTGTGTAACTTGATCAATATTCAATGTTGTTGTCATACCTCCAAGATATTCAGCCATTTGTGCAGTAGTATCTCCAATAGATACACCATATAAAGAATAAATTGTTTCTCTATATTTTGAACCACCACGAGCTAAAGCTTCAAAATATCTTTGCGTAGCAAAAGCCATTCTTAATTGATTGACAGTTGCAGCAGTTGCAGTAGCCAAATTAGCAGTTCCAGTAAATGATGCAGCTAATCCTGAATTATAAGAAACTTCCTGATAAGCACCAATTCCACCATAAACAGCAGATTTTTCTAAAAAAGCTGTCTTTTTATCTCCAACATCTCCACCAGTAACAAGTTTACTTTGAGCATCAGGATCATTAGTTTGAAAGAATGTAATAGGCAAAGGTTGACCATTATTCGCAGCACTTGAAATACTAACCGAACCAGTAACAGGTGCACTATCTCCTAAGGGCAATAATACAGGGTTGGATTTTTGAGCCCATGGCAAACAAGAAGTGAAAAGATCCATCTTCTTGCAAACTTTTGGAAGTTTAGAATAACCAGTAATATTTGCACCATTTAAAGTTGCTAAAGCATGAGTTCCATCACCAGTTTGTGCATGATTCCATAAATATGGAGCCATAAAATTCTCATTTCTAAACCAATCATTATAAACTTGAAAGAAACATCTCATAGGATTTACAGCAATAGGAGAATGTGTAGTAGATGGAACAACACTTGCATTTTGTGCAATTAAATTTCCATATACAGCTAAAGCTTGAGGATTAGTTGGAACATCAGTTTTTTTAATAACCATATTTTTAGTTGCACGAGGTTGATAAATAGTTGATTGAATTCCATAACCTTCTTTTGCTTCTCCCATGAATTCTTTTTCCTTATCCCAAACCAATCTTTCAGGAACATAGAACGCTGCTATAGACATCCAAACAGGTGTCATAAAAGGAGCAATAGGTGGTGTTGCTGTTCTAATAAACGCATCAATTTCATATTTAGCAGAATCTGATGGAAGAATTTCAAATAAATCTACTAAAAATAAATCACCATGATAAACAGGAGCTGTCCAAGTATTATCAATATTCTGAATAGAACGAGGCCTTGACTCCAAAATTGTTTCTACTGAAGAAAATGTTCCATTACTTGCCATTTTCTACTTCCTCTCTTTCCTCAGGCTTAACATCAGACTTAACTCCAGATTTAGCTTCTTTATCTTCAGCATCTAAACCTTTAACTCCATAAGCAGCTAATAGTTCTTTAGGATCCATAGACATAAGCTCATCATAAGTTTTGCCTTTTAATGAATCTGGTAAATTACCAGTAATTTTTGCTGCATTTGCAGCCATTTTTTGAGCAGTTATAATATCTTCAGGGATTCCAGTAACATCACCAAATTGAACAACATCTTTTTGATGAAGTAAGGATTCATCTCCAGTTCTAAGGACTTGAGCAATTAAAGCTTTCAGATTACACTTTTTAGCTTCTTCTTGAATTTCCTTGTGAATATCATGTTCACCAACGCATGCAGGAACTTCATCCAAATGCCAATCATCTTCACCATCACCAGTTCGAACTACAATCTGTTTATGAATGTAATCCTTAACAACAGATGAAGAAAAATCAGATCCTGGAGAAATAACTCCATCACAGCGTGCAAATTTAATTTGACTTTTTACTAGATTTTCGGACATTTTCCTTAACCTCCTTGACCATGTAATCTTCATAGTCAATTAATTTTTGAGGTTCAGGCAAAATCTCAAACTTTCCTAAATTATCATCATACATTCCAAAATAATAAAGTGCACAATCACGAGCACCTGGAACATTATCAGCTTCACCTTTTTTAATTCCACGAATACAGGTTTCAGCTTGTTGATCAGGATAATCTTTTGCAAATTGAGGTGTTCCATAAGCTTGAAGCTTTTTATCACGAACACAATAAATATGTAACTTCATTAGAAATGAAAACCTCCTCTCATTCCTTGCCTACGATTGACAAGATTTTTAGTTGAAGTTCTATTAGCAGTTTTATTAAACAAGCGATTCGAACTTCTAGTTGACATCTTTTTTCCTTTCATTTTAATACCTCCTTTTTTTCAGGTGTTGAAAGAATACTTTCAATAATCGAATCTAAACGAGAATAATAAAGATGGTGAACTTCTTCTTCATCTTTCCCAGTAAACTGACAAATGAAAGCAATAATAGCAGATAAAACAAATGTCTTTTTTTCACTGCCTTTCACATTCATAGATTCAGCTTTGTTAATAAGATCAGGAAGTCGAAGAACAGCCTGTTCAAACACTGTATCTTTGACAGTAACCTTTCTAACAAAAATTGAAACAAGAATGTTAATAATTCCCACACAAAGAACAACCACTTCTGAAATGTGAGAAATCAAGAAATCTTTCATATTAGATTCCTCCTTTTCCTTTAGTAAAAACATGAGCTCTAAAATTACGAATATCATCACCTTTATAATGAGCTGATAAATTCCTAAAATTATAAGCAGAAATAAGTTTTCCAAATTCTTTCCTTTCATTGATATAATTATCAATCAAAGGATGTTCATCTTCTACAAACCAACGAATCATACAAGAAGGAATAGGAACACATTTTGATGATCCAAAATCTCCGTAAAGCTTAAAACCATCAGATGCAATCTGTAAAAAATACATATCATAATATGAACGGCCTAAATTCCTAGACATAATAATCTTACTTTTATTCTTTGATGTATATTTGGCAACATAACGAGCACAATTTGATTCAAAAGGGGCAACATTATGCCATCCAAATTTCCAAAGTTCTTCAATTTTTGAAGAATGATAATAATAAAAGCCACTAATCCATTGAGGTTCTTTAAGAGGCAATTCAAAATCACAGAACAAAACAACATGAAAATGTAATCTGTTTGTTTCTTCTCCTCTTTCCATACAAGCAAAAAACTTAAATTTATTTTTATGAGATCTTCCAGATAATCTATCTAAAAATTTTCGTAAATCTTCAATACAAGCATATTCAATATGCTGTTCATCATAAGTTAAAGTTAAAAAATAATTATATAAATGCTGTTTAGCTTCTAATGTGCAACGAATAGCCCATTCATCAGCATAATTTCTTCTGCAATGTTCACATTCACCACATGGAAACAAAAAAACATTATCAGATCCATATTTTTCTACTAATTCCTCTATTGAAAAATGTCTAGTAAATGAAAGAAATTTTATCTTCATTTTACCATCTGAATTCGTGAATAAATTCACTGCAGGCCTAGGATTAAGACATGGAAATTTCATTTTTTAAGCACCTCGTGCTTACCTAAATAATACTTTTTTTTTTTTTTTTTTCAAGTATATTATTAGTAATGCCAGATGTAACGAGAGCCTTATAAGTAGGTTGCTTGTGTATTACAACATCAGGCAACATGAGCAGCTTACTTATAGGGCTTTTTCTCTAAGCTGGGTGCAAAATAGGAAGAAAACACCAAATGAACCGAAATCTAGAGCTACCACAGACAAAAACAGATGAGAAACCATTAAAGGAAGAGAGAATGAACACTCATCTAGGAGACACGAAAAAACAAATGATAATTATTAATAATAAATGCTTATATCATTGTGAACATACAATTGAAACTTGTAAAAATCACAATTGCTACTACTACAAAATTAAATCGCAGTAGCTCATCCGTCGAGCTATGTGATATACAACATTTAAGCCCTACGAATCCAGGGCTTTTTCTTTATAAAAAAATCGAACGGATTTGACAACCCGTCCGACACGATACTATAAATAACAAGGCGTAGGCGTATCGTGCACGCAATGCGTGTTTTTTTGCCTATTCTAGGCCATGAAAATCTTAAATAAGGATTTCATCTGATTCACAGAGTTTGCACTCGTTACAGCCCTCAAAAATGCTTTATTTGTTGAAGCTAATCCAACAAGATTTTGAGGTGTCATCTTCTTTAACATTGTAATATTTGCTGCAGTTGTAACTAACTGCGAAACAGAATGAGCCAAAGCATCAAAATTTGCAGCTCTAGCACCAGCAAATCCTGAAGAACTAGCAGAACCAACACTTGCTGCAGAAGTAGATGGAGTAGATGCTTCACCATTCTGAACAGCAAGCATAGGATTCAAACCTGCAGCTTTTAGATCTGCAACTCTTCGTTGAATAGCAGTATCAGAAAGATTCTTTTCAAATAATCTTTGCTTTTCTGCTTCTGAAGCATTGAAATCACGAGTAATTGCAGCCTGTTCAGCATTGAACTGGTTATTTTCTCGATTCATATCAATATTTACTTGATTAGCATTCTTTTGAGATGCGTAATTCAATCCAGAAGAAACAGCTGAAGCACCAATAGTTCCAGCAGCTCCTATTCCAGCTAAAGCAGCCAATAATCCAGCCGTTAAAACCATAACAAACTCCTAGAAATGGTCAATATAGCCAGGTGTAGAATGAACTGGAAGCTCACGAGCCACTCTTCTTCTGATCTTTAAATCTACGAAATAATCTGGAGATGAAGTTCCACCAGATAAACATCTAGCAATATTAGTTCTATCTTCAGTTAAGAAAGCAGCACCTAAAGTAGGAGCAGTTGCAAAATTTTCTCCAAGAGTCCAGAAATCTAAAGCATTAGAAGTTGATGGATTTAAAGCACCAATAACAACATCTCTTTTAAATCTATAGTCAGAACTCCATGCTTCATTGAACCCAAAACTAATAGAATCATTAGCTTTTAAACCAGAGAAAAAGATAGAATTTGTTGGAACAGGTTGTTCACCAATAAATGCAAACTTTGAATTATATCTTTGAAGTATTTCAGACTTTTGCCAAAAATCTTCAATTCCTTGACCATAAATTCTTTGATGTTTTGTATAACCAACAAGAACAATATAACCAGGTTCAGCAAATGATTTTGTAAATAAATACTCACTTGAAGCACTTAAAGAAATAGCACCAGGAGCACCAAGTTCAGTTCCTTGGCCAGCTTGATGGCCAGTTGTTTGTGTAACTTGATCAATATTCAATGTTGTTGTCATACCTCCAAGATATTCAGCCATTTGTGCAGTAGTATCTCCAATAGATACACCATATAAAGAATAAATTGTTTCTCTATATTTTGAACCACCACGAGCTAAAGCTTCAAAATATCTTTGCGTAGCAAAAGCCATTCTTAATTGATTGACAGTTGCAGCAGTTGCAGTAGCCAAATTAGCAGTTCCAGTAAATGATGCAGCTAATCCTGAATTATAAGAAACTTCCTGATAAGCACCAATTCCACCATAAACAGCAGATTTTTCTAAAAAAGCTGTCTTTTTATCTCCAACATCTCCACCAGTAACAAGTTTACTTTGAGCATCAGGATCATTAGTTTGAAAGAATGTAATAGGCAAAGGTTGACCATTATTCGCAGCACTTGAAATACTAACCGAACCAGTAACAGGTGCACTATCTCCTAAGGGCAATAATACAGGGTTGGATTTTTGAGCCCATGGCAAACAAGAAGTGAAAAGATCCATCTTCTTGCAAACTTTTGGAAGTTTAGAATAACCAGTAATATTTGCACCATTTAAAGTTGCTAAAGCATGAGTTCCATCACCAGTTTGTGCATGATTCCATAAATATGGAGCCATAAAATTCTCATTTCTAAACCAATCATTATAAACTTGAAAGAAACATCTCATAGGATTTACAGCAATAGGAGAATGTGTAGTAGATGGAACAACACTTGCATTTTGTGCAATTAAATTTCCATATACAGCTAAAGCTTGAGGATTAGTTGGAACATCAGTTTTTTTAATAACCATATTTTTAGTTGCACGAGGTTGATAAATAGTTGATTGAATTCCATAACCTTCTTTTGCTTCTCCCATGAATTCTTTTTCCTTATCCCAAACCAATCTTTCAGGAACATAGAACGCTGCTATAGACATCCAAACAGGTGTCATAAAAGGAGCAATAGGTGGTGTTGCTGTTCTAATAAACGCATCAATTTCATATTTAGCAGAATCTGATGGAAGAATTTCAAATAAATCTACTAAAAATAAATCACCATGATAAACAGGAGCTGTCCAAGTATTATCAATATTCTGAATAGAACGAGGCCTTGACTCCAAAATTGTTTCTACTGAAGAAAATGTTCCATTACTTGCCATTTTCTACTTCCTCTCTTTCCTCAGGCTTAACATCAGACTTAACTCCAGATTTAGCTTCTTTATCTTCAGCATCTAAACCTTTAACTCCATAAGCAGCTAATAGTTCTTTAGGATCCATAGACATAAGCTCATCATAAGTTTTGCCTTTTAATGAATCTGGTAAATTACCAGTAATTTTTGCTGCATTTGCAGCCATTTTTTGAGCAGTTATAATATCTTCAGGGATTCCAGTAACATCACCAAATTGAACAACATCTTTTTGATGAAGTAAGGATTCATCTCCAGTTCTAAGGACTTGAGCAATTAAAGCTTTCAGATTACACTTTTTAGCTTCTTCTTGAATTTCCTTGTGAATATCATGTTCACCAACGCATGCAGGAACTTCATCCAAATGCCAATCATCTTCACCATCACCAGTTCGAACTACAATCTGTTTATGAATGTAATCCTTAACAACAGATGAAGAAAAATCAGATCCTGGAGAAATAACTCCATCACAGCGTGCAAATTTAATTTGACTTTTTACTAGATTTTCGGACATTTTCCTTAACCTCCTTGACCATGTAATCTTCATAGTCAATTAATTTTTGAGGTTCAGGCAAAATCTCAAACTTTCCTAAATTATCATCATACATTCCAAAATAATAAAGTGCACAATCACGAGCACCTGGAACATTATCAGCTTCACCTTTTTTAATTCCACGAATACAGGTTTCAGCTTGTTGATCAGGATAATCTTTTGCAAATTGAGGTGTTCCATAAGCTTGAAGCTTTTTATCACGAACACAATAAATATGTAACTTCATTAGAAATGAAAACCTCCTCTCATTCCTTGCCTACGATTGACAAGATTTTTAGTTGAAGTTCTATTAGCAGTTTTATTAAACAAGCGATTCGAACTTCTAGTTGACATCTTTTTTCCTTTCATTTTAATACCTCCTTTTTTTCAGGTGTTGAAAGAATACTTTCAATAATCGAATCTAAACGAGAATAATAAAGATGGTGAACTTCTTCTTCATCTTTCCCAGTAAACTGACAAATGAAAGCAATAATAGCAGATAAAACAAATGTCTTTTTTTCACTGCCTTTCACATTCATAGATTCAGCTTTGTTAATAAGATCAGGAAGTCGAAGAACAGCCTGTTCAAACACTGTATCTTTGACAGTAACCTTTCTAACAAAAATTGAAACAAGAATGTTAATAATTCCCACACAAAGAACAACCACTTCTGAAATGTGAGAAATCAAGAAATCTTTCATATTAGATTCCTCCTTTTCCTTTAGTAAAAACATGAGCTCTAAAATTACGAATATCATCACCTTTATAATGAGCTGATAAATTCCTAAAATTATAAGCAGAAATAAGTTTTCCAAATTCTTTCCTTTCATTGATATAATTATCAATCAAAGGATGTTCATCTTCTACAAACCAACGAATCATACAAGAAGGAATAGGAACACATTTTGATGATCCAAAATCTCCGTAAAGCTTAAAACCATCAGATGCAATCTGTAAAAAATACATATCATAATATGAACGGCCTAAATTCCTAGACATAATAATCTTACTTTTATTCTTTGATGTATATTTGGCAACATAACGAGCACAATTTGATTCAAAAGGGGCAACATTATGCCATCCAAATTTCCAAAGTTCTTCAATTTTTGAAGAATGATAATAATAAAAGCCACTAATCCATTGAGGTTCTTTAAGAGGCAATTCAAAATCACAGAACAAAACAACATGAAAATGTAATCTGTTTGTTTCTTCTCCTCTTTCCATACAAGCAAAAAACTTAAATTTATTTTTATGAGATCTTCCAGATAATCTATCTAAAAATTTTCGTAAATCTTCAATACAAGCATATTCAATATGCTGTTCATCATAAGTTAAAGTTAAAAAATAATTATATAAATGCTGTTTAGCTTCTAATGTGCAACGAATAGCCCATTCATCAGCATAATTTCTTCTGCAATGTTCACATTCACCACATGGAAACAAAAAAACATTATCAGATCCATATTTTTCTACTAATTCCTCTATTGAAAAATGTCTAGTAAATGAAAGAAATTTTATCTTCATTTTACCATCTGAATTCGTGAATAAATTCACTGCAGGCCTAGGATTAAGACATGGAAATTTCATTTTTTAAGCACCTCGTGCTTACCTAAATAATACTTTTTTTTTTTTTTTTTTCAAGTATATTATTAGTAATGCCAGATGTAACGAGAGCCTTATAAGTAGGTTGCTTGTGTATTACAACATCAGGCAACATGAGCAGCTTACTTATAGGGCTTTTTCTCTAAGCTGGGTGCAAAATAGGAAGAAAACACCAAATGAACCGAAATCTAGAGCTACCACAGACAAAAACAGATGAGAAACCATTAAAGGAAGAGAGAATGAACACTCATCTAGGAGACACGAAAAAACAAATGATAATTATTAATAATAAATGCTTATATCATTGTGAACATACAATTGAAACTTGTAAAAATCACAATTGCTACTACTACAAAATTAAATCGCAGTAGCTCATCCGTCGAGCTATGTGATATACAACATTTAAGCCCTACGAATCCAGGGCTTTTTCTTTATAAAAAAATCGAACGGATTTGACAACCCGTCCGACACGATACTATAAATAACAAGGCGTAGGCGTATCGTGCACGCAATGCGTGTTTTTTTGCCTATTCTAGGCCATGAAAATCTTAAATAAGGATTTCATCTGATTCACAGAGTTTGCACTCGTTACAGCCCTCAAAAATGCTTTATTTGTTGAAGCTAATCCAACAAGATTTTGAGGTGTCATCTTCTTTAACATTGTAATATTTGCTGCAGTTGTAACTAACTGCGAAACAGAATGAGCCAAAGCATCAAAATTTGCAGCTCTAGCACCAGCAAATCCTGAAGAACTAGCAGAACCAACACTTGCTGCAGAAGTAGATGGAGTAGATGCTTCACCATTCTGAACAGCAAGCATAGGATTCAAACCTGCAGCTTTTAGATCTGCAACTCTTCGTTGAATAGCAGTATCAGAAAGATTCTTTTCAAATAATCTTTGCTTTTCTGCTTCTGAAGCATTGAAATCACGAGTAATTGCAGCCTGTTCAGCATTGAACTGGTTATTTTCTCGATTCATATCAATATTTACTTGATTAGCATTCTTTTGAGATGCGTAATTCAATCCAGAAGAAACAGCTGAAGCACCAATAGTTCCAGCAGCTCCTATTCCAGCTAAAGCAGCCAATAATCCAGCCGTTAAAACCATAACAAACTCCTAGAAATGGTCAATATAGCCAGGTGTAGAATGAACTGGAAGCTCACGAGCCACTCTTCTTCTGATCTTTAAATCTACGAAATAATCTGGAGATGAAGTTCCACCAGATAAACATCTAGCAATATTAGTTCTATCTTCAGTTAAGAAAGCAGCACCTAAAGTAGGAGCAGTTGCAAAATTTTCTCCAAGAGTCCAGAAATCTAAAGCATTAGAAGTTGATGGATTTAAAGCACCAATAACAACATCTCTTTTAAATCTATAGTCAGAACTCCATGCTTCATTGAACCCAAAACTAATAGAATCATTAGCTTTTAAACCAGAGAAAAAGATAGAATTTGTTGGAACAGGTTGTTCACCAATAAATGCAAACTTTGAATTATATCTTTGAAGTATTTCAGACTTTTGCCAAAAATCTTCAATTCCTTGACCATAAATTCTTTGATGTTTTGTATAACCAACAAGAACAATATAACCAGGTTCAGCAAATGATTTTGTAAATAAATACTCACTTGAAGCACTTAAAGAAATAGCACCAGGAGCACCAAGTTCAGTTCCTTGGCCAGCTTGATGGCCAGTTGTTTGTGTAACTTGATCAATATTCAATGTTGTTGTCATACCTCCAAGATATTCAGCCATTTGTGCAGTAGTATCTCCAATAGATACACCATATAAAGAATAAATTGT